CCCAGCGCCGATCCGAGAAATCCAAGCGAAGCTCTGAAAGTTTATGTCCATGTCTCTTTCCCTATTCCATATTTTACCCCCGCCCGATCTCGCCAGGAAGACGACGAGGAGGAGGACGAGGAGGAGGAGGAGCGCAACAAGCCCCGCCTTCATGTCCGCTCAACGCAATTAACGAGGAGGAGGAGGAGGAGGAGGAGGAGGAGGAGGAAGAGGAGGAGTACAGTCGGGCTGCTGAAAGAAGGAACGCAACATAAGGAACGAAGCCCCGTCTTGGCCCTGCAAGCGCCTCCGTGCCCCAGGAGGCCAAGAGGGACAGCACTGGAGGAACCCAAGGAGCATCGAGCCCCTTCCGAACCCAAACTGTTCCTCGTTTCGGCGTCTTGACTGTAGCAGGACGAGAGAGCGAGGAGAACGAGGAGGACGAGGGCAAGGAGGGCAACGACGACGACGACGACGGCGACGACGACGACGACGAGAGCCAGGAGGGCCTCCGCCGCGGCCCTGCCGAAAAGGTCGCCCAGCTCCGTGCCCTCTTGCATGGCCGTGCCCGCCCGGGCGCCCCGGGGGGCGGCGGACGGCGCGACGGGGGACGGGCCGTGAGAGCAGCTGCGGGGTGATCGCACGGAGGAGGAGGAGGAGGAGGCGGAGGAGGAGGAGGAGGAGGCGGAGGAGGAGGGAGGAGGATCGTGATCCTCCTCCTCCTCCGCCTCCTCCTCCTCCTCCTCCTCCGCCTCCTCCTCCTGCGGGCCGTGAGAGCAGCTTGGGGGGGGGCGGCCGAGGAATCGAGGAAGGGAAAGTGGTCGTTGGAAGAACACCAGGACGGCATAGACACTTTGTTTTACGAGCGCGGGAAGCCCAGTGGCAGAGCGAAGCGGCATAGGCACGACTTTTGGCGCGCCGCGCTGGTTTCCTGGATCCGAGCTGTGCCCCCCTGCCTGGCGCGTAGAGCGCGCCAGGGGCGGCGCTGGAGGCGCTGCCGGGGGGGGCCAGCGCGGATCCAAGAAATCCGCTATGTTTATGCAATTTGTTCTTCTTCGCGTCGTCCGCCCTTGACAAGGATTTGAACACATGATACTCAACTATCAGACCTCCTGACGGGCAAGCGCCAGTCGGAACGATCGGAGGAACAGCGCCGACCAAGCTAGCGACCGACGGGGCTGAGCTGAGGAAGGGGAAGTGTAAGACGAAGCCAGGACGAGGACGAAGTCGGATGACGACAGATCGAAAATCCCTGAGATCTGGCGGCTCTGGGGAATGTATAAGGGACCGCGGCCTTCTCAGAGCGTTCCAGAACACCCTGCGAGCGTTCCAGAACGCCCTGGGACGGATTCGTCCTCTTCCCAGCCCCTCCCGAGAAGCAGGCGTCCGTCCGTTCTGAACAAGGATTTGAAGAAAGGCATATCGATCGTGCCCACTGACGGGCAAGAAGCGGTCGTAACGATGGGAGGCTCACAGCCGATCAAGCCAACATCAACAGGCTCGCGATTCGCAATTCCACCGCCAGGGGGTTTGGTGGGGGGGAGGTCAAAGGCAAGAACAACAATGCATGTGATGAATGGGCAATGTCAAATACAACAATGCACGAGTAAGGTGGGCAATGCCAAATGCGAAGCATGGCATTGGTGGTCGAATGTTATCGTTCCTGTCTTCCGTCCCTCGTCCACTCCTTCCAGGTTCCCTCCACGGCCACAAACTGCGTGGTGAGGCAAGCTGCACAGACACCACAATTCCAAGGTCCGCGCAGAATTCCTCTGAACCCGACGGCGGCGCCTCTTGCGCACCCCGCGAGGCAGGGAGCGGCGTCCAGCGCCGATCCAGGAGATCCGCGCGGGCCGTCGAAAGCTGATGTTTACGCAGTCCCCTCCTCTTCTGAGGGTGACGGAGAGCACAAGGAGGCAGCCAGGCTTGGGGGGCAATAGGGCGGGGACGGATCTGAAGGGGCCCTGGGACACAAAACAAACATGTGCACAAATCCCAGGATACCCAATATCTTCTCGCAGCTTCTGGGTGTTCGGCTTCCCCCTCCCACTTCCCATAGTTCTCCCATGTGTTCCCGGGGGATCGACGATTGCTTGTGCCTGCGTGATTTGTTCCCCCCCTGACCGGGCCCTTGAGACGACAATCGACGGAGCAGAGCTATGGGCTCTCTGGCGGCCGGGCAGCACGCGCACGCTGCCCTGGGCCCGCGGGGCCCCGGCGCGACGACGGGGGCCGTGAGGGAGCCTGGCGACGGGGCACGGATACAGCTTTCAGCAGCGAGGCACCGACGCGACGACGAGGCACCGACGCGACGACGAGGCACCGACGCGACGACGGGGCACCGACGCGACGACGGGGCCTTGAGGGACCCTGGCGACGAGGCAAGGATGTAGCAGCACCGTCGGGGCGCTTGACCTGAGGAGCCCTAGATAAGGAGCGCGGCGCCTGTTTCCCATAAATTAAGCTTCGGTGTCCCGTGGGAAACTTAAGAGGGAACCTGAGGCAAGCTTTGACACAATCAAGGAACACCGAGCCCCTCCTCAACGAAAGGGTTCTTTCTTCAGCGCCCCGACTGTAAACAATGAGGAAAGAGGACAGCAAGGATTACGGCAACGATGCATGCAGCGACCACATCACGAAATCAGAGCCCGACGGATGCCCTCTCGAACTCGTTCGGAAGGTAGGCCCTCGAGCAGTCGTCGCTTAGGAGCACAAGCTCGAAGGGGCCGAAACAACAACACGAGGCAGGCATAAACAACAAAAACGACGAGAAAGGTGCGAGGTGGATGAGGGCAATGGGGATGAAGGGCGTGCACGCAAGAGCAGGACCACTGCGGTGCAAGGGAAAGGATGCACGAGTGATGGAGAACTTTTGTCGAACAACTCCACAACATCCAGAATCAATGCCGCGACCATGAACTCTCTCTAGGTGAGCCGAGAATGCGGGGAGAGCAAACAAATAAGGTTTTTCCCGTCACGCCAGTCCTGTCACGCCTGGCTCGCCACTGTCTTCTGCCACGCTTCGAAAGATGCGACGCGCGCAAAACAATGAAACGCAATCTGCTCTTGGCGTCTCAATGGGTCTCGGGACTTCGGGGATCTTCTGACCCGGGTCAATCCAAACCCAGGTCAGTCAAGCCTTGCAGAATCCTGCAAGATCCTGCACCCAAACCGGGGTCAATGCGAAGGACCCTGCAAGATCCTGCAGGATCCTGCACCCAAACCCTGGTCAATGCGACCCTGGCCCTGCAGGATCCTGCAAGATCGGGCGTTCTGGCTGACCCCCGTTTGCATTGACCCCCGTCTCAAGGCTCCCGAGGGACGTGGCTCTTGCTCTGGCCGGTACGCCTCGCGAACCTCCTGAAAACGAGCTACACTGGACCCCCACTCTCTTTCAGCTGCCTTTGGAAGGTTCTGAGGCGCCTGGCGGTAGCGGGGAATCGAAGTAATGTTTGCCCCGCCTCGCCCAATCGCGAAACCATCGAAGCAGGAGAAGGCGCACCCAAGAATTGTTGGCAACCGTTGGCGCCGCCACTCCCTGGACCTCTCCTGGGGTGCGTTCTGACCAAAATTTCGAGGCGAATCCAGTTGTGGCGACGAGGGCCTCCGAGGAGGCTCGAAAAGACGAAAACGAGGCAAGGGCAACGGATGGGGACCTTGTCCTCCTCTGAGAAGGACCGTCCGCAAAAGTCTGAGGCAAATGCAGGCCACTCCCAGTCGAGGTAACAAGAAGGGCGCGGCCGCAAGAAACCCTCGCAAGAAACACAGCCCTGAAGACCCGCGCGAGAGGTGCGACTGGGGGGAAGCCCAGGGCACCTTGAACGCAGCAACTTCTTCAACGTCCGCGGGAAGTCACCGCGCAGCGCGAGGAGCGAAGAAACCCAGGGCACCCTGACGAGAAGTATAGGGCTCCTTGATGCGCGCCCCGACTGTACGCGTGAGGCCAGCTGCGGGGCACCTCCTCGGAGTCCGAACCAAACGAGAACGAGGCAGGCGCCGAGACGAGAGAGAGAGAGAGAGAGAAAGAGAGAGAGAGAGAGAGCACGGTGCCGAGCCGCAGCGGGTGCCGAAGCAAGAGGCCAGAGACACACAGGCGCACACCCCGAGCACGGCCGGGGCACACTGGTCGTGGCGGCCGTGGGTGCCCGTCGGGGACGAGGGGGGGAGCGGTGCTCGTGCAGAGCAAGCGCGAAGGCAGGAGAGGGCGCGAGATCTCCGCCGCAGTGCTGTTGTCGCAACGACGGGAGGAGCGACGGGCAGCGCAGGTTGTGGAGGAGCAGCTGTGCGGGAGCAGATGTGTTCCATCTCATGCAGAGCAGTGGTGGAGGAGAGGGAGAGGAGAGAGGGGGGCGGGGAAGGGGCGAGGCCCAGATCTCCGGCGCCGTGATGTGTTCACGACGTCGACCCCTAGAGGCCCTGGAGTTAGGTCGGGCGTGTCCTCCTACAGAGGGATTCTGGGCGAAAGATAAGAAGTACCAGAAAATACCCCCAAATGGTCAAACATAGTGAACAAGCATCGTCCCTAGACTATTCTGAAACTATGTTTGAATATTCCTCCTCTAGAGGGACGTGCCCGACCTAACCCTGGAGGTCTAGAGTCTCGACACCTTCCCCGGGGCGATTTCTCGTATCCCGAGTCTTTTTGTTGACGGCCCTGGGGCGCAATGAGGCCCCCCCAGAGGGCGAAAAACTGCCCCAAACCGTTCGTCGAGATTTTTGGTTCACATGGAGAGGAGATGGAGACAAGGGGTGCTCCTTTTCCAGATCGCCCTGCGGCCAACCGCGGTCCCGGCCGGATGGGCGAGTACAGAAGAAGAACAAAAACTAGATGTGCATGAACTTTCGGAAATCCGCGCCAGGGGCGGCGCCGGAGGCGCCGCCAGGGGGGCCGTAGGCGCCGATCCTAGACATCGGCAAGCTGTTCCGAAAGCTCATGTTTATGCTTACTCCGCTTTTTCTTCTTCTTCGAAGTCTGGGGGGGGGAGTGGGGTCGAGGGCAACGCGCGCGGGTCCCCGCGGCGTCATAGTATCCGGCGGTCCGAGAGCAGGCCCTTGATGTAGTAAACCTGCCAGGCCACGCGGAGCCCGAGGGCAGGAGAGGACCGCTGGGCCGACACGCCCCACCCCCACCCAGGTGGCCGAATGCGAGCACCGCTCCCGTCGCCCTCCCGCGCCTCTCCTCCTCTCCCTTCGACCTGAGCTCGTCTCTCCCTCCTCCACCCTTCTCTCTGGGGCGCGCAAACATGGATTAGCGATCCATGGGTTTGGCGCGCGGTCGCCAAATCCATGGATCGGGGGGAGTGCCCTCCCCAAAAAACGGCCGGTGCCGCCTCCTTCGACGGCGGGAAGCTACGATCTCCATTGTAGACGGGACTCGCTTGGTTGCCGCATTCTCGAGGAACGCAACAAATAGAAAGACAGCAGCGTCCCTCTACGACGGGAATGATGTCGTGGTGCGACTGGCGCACAGGGCACGTTCCAGTAGCTCCGAGTGTATGGCGACCCTCGTGTCAGCCGCCCGTGCGGCACGTTTGGAGAGCCGGGAGATCCTGGACCTGGTGGAGATCTGGGAGCGCATCACTATCATGGAGGGCGCGCGGCTGGACGTCCCCAAGGGGGGGGGAGGGGGGGGGGGTCGAAAATTCCACCCCCCCTTTTGAAGGGGGGGAGGGGGGGGTTCTGCGAGCACCCCCCCCCCCTTTTGTGCAATTATTCAGGGCCACCCACTGGCGCGCTCTCACTGTCATGACCTCTTCCTCCTCTGGTCCTCCTCCCCCCTCCGACCTGCCCTCGTCTCTCCCTCCTCCAAAAGGTCCGCGCAGACTTCTCGGATCGACGCTGGGCCCCGGCGGCGGCGCCTCCCGGCGCGCTCCGCGCACCAGGGAGGGGGTCCAGCGCCGATCCGGGGACTCCGCGCGGACCTCCGAGAGTTGAGGCGTCTGCACCCGTCGGCCGGACGAGGGGGTGGAAACTCGAAGCAGGACGGCGCTGGAAGTGGCTTGGGCTCCCGCCCCGCACCCCCGGAGAGGAGGGCAGGGGGAAACCCGCCCGACCCTCGAAGTAAGGAGGGCAACTGCAGCAGACTGGGCTGCGGGCATCCGAAAAAAAACACCTCCTCTCCACGACCGCCGTGCGCACGTCGCTGCTCGCTCCTCGACCCTCCCGCTCCGCGGCGACGCCCGCCATGGGAGCGACCTCCCCTCCCCTCCTCCCCTCCCCCGCGCCCGCCTCCGCATGGCCTTTTCTGAACGGGCCCTGGGGTACACAAAGAAATACGCACACAAATAACAGGTGTCCCCATATTTCCTACATTTTCCGTGTCGTTGGCTTCCCCCCCCCTGTCCCATATGTTCCCAGATTCTCTGGGGAATCGACGATTAGTTGTTTCTGTGTGTGTTTTTCCCCTCCTGACATCTGCGCTCTGCGCTGCCCAGCCGCCCGACCGCGCGTGCGCCCTGCCTCCGCCGCGCCGCGGCGTCGAACAAAAACGCTCCTCGACCCTCCCCTGCCCCATCTCCGCCCGCCCCACCTCCGAGGCCCCGCGGCGCATCGCCCGATACATCGGCGACGCATCACCGATGACTTGGCGATACATCGGCGACGTCGACGATGCACCAGCGCCATGGGCGTGAAGAAAGTCGGACCCCACATCGCGGCGCATCGGCGATGCATCAGCGATGCGGCACGATCCTCCGACCCCATCTGGAGGGCCTAGCCACACCCACCCTCTGCCAGCAGCTGGTGCCTGGCCACGTCAGGGATGCTCTACGCAGCCTGGACAGAGCCACCGCTGCATCGTTCGCTCGTCCTGGACCTCGGGGTGGGGGTGGCTCCCCGCTGTCGGGCGAAGCGAAGCGAAGCGAACGCCGGAGTCGTGCGAGCTCCTCCGTGGAGCCCGCCCGCGCCCATCAGGGCATGGCGTGGAGGCCGTGGCCGCAAACATGTGAAACACAGGCTCCCCGCTGTCGAGGTATGGGCCTGGAGGAGAAGCACTGCGTCGTGAGAGGAAAAGCAGGCAGCAGACATCCGGGGCTCGGCGCGGATTTGTTGCATCCGCGCTGGACCCACACCCCATGGCGCAAGGAACGCGACAGGGGCGGCGCTGGAGGCGCCGCCACGGAGACATCAGGCGCCCATCCGAGAAATCCGCGCGGGGCTCCGACAGTGTATGGTTGTGCCGGTGCCGCTTTCATCGAGACGATTCGCACAACAAAACATGACCCTATCGGCACGTCTTGCGATGGTGCAGCCACGACGCGGGCATGAACCGCCAGCATCGGATCGGGACATCGAATCGGATCAGCATGTGGGTCGGCTCCGGCCGCGTCGGCACGACGTCAAAATCAAATCGAATCGGCCGCACCAGGATGCACAACAGCGCTGTGGAAGCATCGGGACGCATCGGATCGCCGGACCACCGAAGTTGAATCGGATCTAAATGGCCGGAACCAGCATCGAATCTGACCGATATGATCGACATTGACACTGTGGAGATGGCGGTCGAAACTCGTGAGGAACCCTCGGGAAACAGGAGAGAAGACAGAGATAGGTGGGAGGAGCAGGAGAGGGGGAGGGACGGAGGATGGAGGAGGAGGAAGGAGGAAGAAAGACGAAGGGCGAAGGAAGAAGGCAAAACAACAAATAAACGAAAAATGCGCTATAGTGCGCTGCAGTTCTGAATTCATACGACGTGCTACTCCACCTGCTGCATGCGAGACCACGTGTATATATATATATATATATGTCCCAAACAAGTCGTGGGACTCGGTCGAGTCGAACGAGGTCGGGGCAGAAGCGCACCGTACAGCTCCGAAAATCCGAAAGGTCTGGGGGCAGGTCGCTAACGTTACATGCCGTGCGAACAGGGGGTGATGCCCCACGAGCAGATGCTGACTTGAAAGCCGGAGATGCCAACAAGGCTAAGAGGGAGGAGGGAGGAGGAGAGGATACGGCGCTGGCTGGCGGACGCCGCGCTCCAGAGGCGCGAAGGCGTGCACAGCAGAATTGAGGCGTCGCACGCGACACCCCGATGTTTGGAGACCCCGAGCCCCCCCCCCCCGAATTTTTCGGAGGCTCTGTCAAACATAATAATGACAAGGCCGAACAGCCGACGCGGGGCGCACTCAGGATGGTGCACCTCTCTCGCGTCGCGGCCTGATAAAAGGCGCAGGAAGCGCCACTCCAAAGCTCCAGACAAGTATGCGGCATCACCTGGGACAGTGCTATGCGCTATCCTCCAGGCTGTGCCCCCCTCAAAGCGAGGGGAGACCGCCGATGCCACTCCCTGGGAGCGTGGCGTCACCTGGGACAGCACTGCTCGCGTTATCCTCCAGGCCGTGCCTCCCGCAAGGCGCAGGAAGCCCACCGAAACCACTCCCTCTAGATACCTGCCCATGGACCAGGTGTGCGGCGTCACCTGGGACGGCACAGCTCGCGCCATCCGCCAGGCTGTGCCCCCCCTCCAGGCGAGGGGGGCCCACCGAAGCCACTCCCTCGCCGCTGGGGCCAAAGGTCACGACGAGGCGATCACCCGACGTCATCCGAGGCCGTGCTAAGGCATCCTGTCCAGAGCGGCTCAGCGTGCGTCGGCGCTCCACCGCGCTAGGCACAGGGCGGCAGAGAATACCCAGCAAGCCTTTAGCGCACCACGCCCAACTGTACGCCATGTCACTGAAGAGGTTGCCGCCGCTCGTGGTCTCTGCCGCCGCGCCACGATCGAGAGCGGTTCTGTCGGCTTCGACGTGAGAAGCAATATCGCCGCTGAGATCCTTGAGGCCCGCACGTGCCAATTTGGTGCCATTGAATTGTGGCCCAGCCTTGAATATGCGCCCCCGGGGTCCGACGAACGGGCGAAGAGCACCATTCCACGGCCGAGCACGAAAAAGACGCCCACGAGGCCCAGGGGCTCGACGAGGAAGGGCATCTCGAACAATGGATTGAGGCCCAACCTTGAAGACGCGCCCAGGTGGTCCAAGGAGTGGCCGAAAAACGCCATGCCAAGGTCGCGGGCCAAAAACTCGCCCACGCGGCGCAGGAACTGGGCGAGGAGGAGCGCCATCAAGGGGGCCCATGAACGGCGTCGACACGAGCACCACGACCAGATTGCGGGCACCCTTCGTCGCATCGATGAACGGCCTGAGAATCATCAGCTGCACCTCCAAGAAAAAAACATCACGGACTCCGTCACCCACTTCACGACGATGGTCACCGAAAACGCCACAACGTGGGAGAGCAGCAGCACGGCCATCGCGAGCAGCACCAAGAACCGCGGGTCCAGGAACGCCACACCCACGACCCGTAGCAGCGCCACTGCCCGACAAGCACGAGGCAAGGTTGTCGGAGCCGTCAGTGTCAAGCGAGACGAGAAGACCAGCAAGGTAGTATGCGGCAGCCTGGCTACGAAGGGGCGTGCGCACCGTAGCGGCGGTGCGGATCCGTTGCGCTGCCAAGTTGGCCCCTGCGGTCGCGGAGAGGCTGGTGAGCGTCTCCAGGGTGTCCATGCGTGGAGCCCCGTCCACAGGCGACGTGTCCGGGTCCCTCGGCTGCAGCAGGGCGACGATGGCGCCCGCCGCTGCCTGCGCATGGCGCGCCGCCGTGCACCGCGCCCTGGCACGGCGACGGGCAGCTCGGGACAGCGAGGCCACACAGGAAGGCGGCACGTGCGCTGTCGACATGAATCGCATCAGCAGCTCCAGGCGAGGCCAGGGGCAGCCGCGGGCGCGCCAGGGGAGAGGCCTGGCGCTGGGGGCATTGGCACGGCGGGCGCCCGCCGCGGGGCAAAACAGCTTGAGCCAAAATGGCTTGAGCCAAAATGGCTACGGAGGGAGGAGGAGAGGAGGGAGGGAGAAGAAAGGAGGAGGAGGAGGAGGAGGAGGAGGAGGAGGAGGAGGAGGAGGAGGAGGAGGAGGGAGAGATGTAGGCCTGAAAGCCGGAGATGCCAACCAGGATCAGGAACTCCACCACGCAGAATGCGAGCATCCGGGCGTGGATGCTTTCGACCGCCTGGGCGGCTCGATGCCCCTCAAAAGCGGCGGCCTCGTCCTCGTCCTCGTCGTCGTCGTCGGCGTCGTCGGCGTTGTCGTCGTCCTCGCCCTCGTCCTTGTCCTCGTCCTCGAAGTCGCCATCGTCCTCATCCTCCTCCTCCTCGTTGTCGTCGTCGCGGGCCCATGAAACGACAAGCGGCTGCGCACGCAGCGTTGCCACGTCCCCCCGCAGCTCGGCGGGATTTGTTTGGCAAGTTTCTGCCTCGTGGGCCCTCGCTGGGCCCCAAAAGCGTCAATAACTGCTCGGGATGAAAAGCGGGTCCCAGGGAAGGGGTATATACCTCTAGGGGTCGCCGTTGTGAAACAATCACGACGTCGGAGTGGGTCTGGTTGATGCAGCTCCTGGCCATCTGGCAGGAAAAAAACCTTACGAGCGATTGGAATTTAGTCATAGCTCTAGCCACTCTAGCCACCAGTTTGATAGGCCCCCGAAAACGAATCCGCACGCTTCTGGGCGGGGTGGGCCATCGTGCTCCGATCGGCGATCAATGGGCGATGGGGGGTCTATGCGCATGCCACCCTGAGCCGATCCCCCCCCCGCCCGTTGCCCCCGTGTTGACCCCGGGGCCCATTTCCCGCTCCTGGCCTTCTGGTCTTCGGGCCGTAGCCCAGGTCTCCGGCGGCCGTTCGGGACGATCTGTGCACCCATGGAACGCTCTCGGCGAGGCGCAGCCGCTGAAGGCATCCCGAGGCTGGAGAGCCGCCGCGAGACGACGAAACAACCGACACGGATCGGACCTCGAACCCCCTGAGCCTAGGCATCCCCCGCTACCGTTTGAGGGCCGAGGGAAACGGGCGGCAGGCCCTGCGGGGGCCTCCGACGGGCCACCACGGGCGAGCCCCTCGGGCGGTGAAAGTGGGGGCCAGGCGCGGAGGGAGGAGGAGGAGGAGGAGGAGGAGGAGGAGGCGGAGGAGGAGGAGGAGGAGGAGGGGAGGAGGGGGCCAGAGCGGCACGTCGGCTGGAGGAGGAGCCGCGAGCAGGACGCGTGCGCGCGTGTGCGGAGCCCCTTGCGCCCCACCGCCCGCGAGGCGAGCGCGCCCGCACCTCGAGGGCGGCTCGCCGACCGGGCGCCCAAGAGCGCTGCGGTCGCACGTCTCCCTCTGCTCCCTCTCTTCGCTCCCCCTCTCCTCCTGCCTCCTGCCTCCTGCCTCCTGCCTCCTCCTGCCTCCTCCCTCCTCCTCCTCCATTTCCTCCTCCTCCTCCTCCTCCTCCTCCTCCTCCTCCTCCTCTATTTCCTCCTCCTCCTCCTCCTCCATTTCCTCGGCCCCTCTTGCCTGCCTGCGGCCCTGCCTCCTGCCCTGCCTCCTGCCCTGCCTCCTGCCCTGCCTCCTGCCCTGCCTCCTGCCCTGCCTGCGACCCTGCCCCCTCGCCTTCCCTGGGAGGGCTGCGGTGCGCGGCGCTCTCGCCGCCCTCGAGGGGCTGCCGGGGGGGGTCCGGCGGAGTGGCGTACACCCTGCGAAATGCTTAAGAAATCATAGGTTAAGAAATTCATACTCTGGCCGAAAACTTAAGTTTTCTTAAGCATCGCCTAAGGTGTAATACGCGGACTTGCGCCAGAGCTCGCCATCCCGGGGGGGCTGCGATCTGCAGGTGCTCGGACCTGCGGAACCGTCGCCACATTCGAGGGCTGCTGGGGGGCCCAGCGGAGCGACGTCATGCAGGGACCTCAGTTGCACCTCGGCATCCCTGGGGGGCTCCGACCTGCGGACCTGTCGCCACTATCGAGGGCTGCTGGAGGGTCCAGCGGAGTGGCGTCATGCGCGACCTAGGTTAGACCCCGCCATCCCCAGGGGGCTCCGACCTGCCAAACTGTCCGCCGTTTCCGGGGCTGCTGGGGTTCAACAGAGTATCACACGCGGACCTAACTTAGACCTCGCCATCCCTGGTGGGGCTGCGATCTGCGATTGGATCTCGCCATCTCTGGTAGGGCCACTTTCGAGGGCTGCGGGGGGATCCAGCGGAGCGACCTCACACCGGGACATAAGTCTCACTAGCCCTCTGGGCGTAGGTGGTTTAACACACTTGTGTTTTCTGTGTGCACAAACCCCTCCTTCCCCTGCTCGGGGGAGAGTTTATCACTGTTCCCTAGAAAATAAAATCCCCTCCCCCAGGCGACTGGAAGCCAACCAGGAGCAATGAGGACCACATGATGACCCCCCACACCACCCCTGTCATAAAACAATACAAAACGCACTCTACCTCCACATTTGGAGCATGCGCGGCCAACCCGATGCGGCCTCCCCACCATCCCTGTCAACAAAACAATACAAAGTACACTGTGGGCAAATACTTGGGCAATGTTCGTGAGGCCCGCGAGCACTTGGTATTGTGTTTGATAGGGACGGCGGCTGTGTCAGCAGATTGCATGCTGTGCGCAGGGCTACCATCCCTGACAACAAACAAAACGAAAGACACCTCGCGGCTAATTCTGAATCATGCGCGGACACCCCGCGATAACTGTTAAGTGATTTTTGACGGGGACAGCGGGGGTGGTGGCGTATGGCCTGTTGTCCACAGGCCCACCAAACACAATGATGGGCATTGGTTGGATGGTGGGGGTCGATGTGTTTCCCGATGTGTGCTGTCACTTTCGCAGGAACACCTGACACTCTGCCCGTGCCCCGAACGTGACGCACCTGGCGCGGCTGGAGTATGCGGCACACCTGGCGCACGCGGAGCACGTGGCGCATCTGGCGCACCAGGCGTGCCTGGCACGCTCGGGCCCTAGGGATGCCTGGCACGCGTGGCGCGCCTGGCACGCGCGGCGCACCTCGCCCCGGCGTCGCGCACATGGGGTCGGTACTGGTTCCGAGTAGCTGTCCATCCAAAGACGACTGCTGAACATGCTCAGGCTCGGATACTACTTATGTGTTGGGAGGGCGGGTGGGAGTGAACTAGACAGCTCGCTATCTAGGAGGGTGCCTTGTCTCATCCCCTTACCCCCTCTCCCGGGCCTGGGAAGGGGGGGCAGGGAACTTGAGAGCTCCCAAGATGGCCCACGATGGCTCCAAGAGGGACCTAGACAGCCCAAGATGGCCTCAAAGATGGCTCAATATAGCCTCCGACAAACATCCAAGAGGCCTCAAAAAGGCTCCACCGAGACCTCCTCGGAACCCCGCAAGAGGCCAAAACGGCTCCCAAACCGAAGGGGCATGAATGGTGTTTGCCGTCTCGCCTGGTCGCTTCCGATGGGGTCTTGAGGCCTCAAGATGGCCCCAGGACGGCCCGAGAGAGCCCCAAGAGGGGCCCAAGGGGGCCCAAAGGGGGCCCCAAGAGACGGTCGTTTTCAGCCTCTGAGGGGGCCCAAGAGGGCTCCAGACCCATCCGAGGAGCCCCAAGAGGGTCCTGAAATACTCCCAATATGAGCCCCAAGAGGGCCCCAAGACTGCCCAAAGAGGCCCCACAGGTGTCCCAAGATAACCACTAATATGACCCTCGTCGTCATTCAAGACCCTCACAACAACATATTTCCACACCCCGGCTTCTCATCCTCCGTGTCTTCCCTCCTTCTCCTCCTTCTCTTCCTTCTCCTCCTCCTCCTCCTTCTCCTCCTCGTCTTCCTCGCGCCTCATTCCTCTTCCTGCTCCCCCTCCTCCTCTTCTTCCCTGTCCTCATCCGGTTCGTTTCCTCCTCCTCCTCCCCTTCCTCCTCCTCGCTCTCCTCCGCCTCGTCCTCCCCTTGCTCCTCCTCACCCTCCGCCTCCTCCTCCTCCTCTTCCTCCTCCTCCTTCTCCTCCTCTTCCTCCTCCTCCACTCCCTCCTCCTCCTCCTCATCCTCCTACATTTTCTCCTGCTACTCCCCCTTCTCCTCCTCCTCCTCTCTTCCTCCTCATCCTCCTTTTCCTCCTCCTCCTCCTCCTCCTCCGTTTTCTTCTCCGTCTCCTCCTCCTCCGCCTGCTCCGCCTGCTCCTCCTCCTCCTCCTCCTCCTTCTTCTCTTCCCCAGTTCCTGTGTTTGTTTGTTTTCTTGTTCCTGGTCTTGTTCCTGGTCCTGTTCCTGTTCTTCGTCCTAGCCCCAAAATGGCCCGATCAATTCGAACATGGCTCAACATAGCCTACGACGGACCTCCAAGAAACCTCGAAGCAACCTCAATATGCATACGGTAGCCGAAATTCGTTCAAGATAACCTCCGACAGCCTGTAGGCGAGCATGGCTCCAGATAGCCTCCTAGAACCGTCAAAAACACCTCCGATCGTGTCTGGGTTGGTTGGTGGGGATACGCGAAGCGTCAATCATTAAACCTCGCCGTCCCCACAAAACAGGCTCCGATTTGCGGAAATGTTGCCGCTTTCGAGGGTTGGTGGGGGTTCGGCGGAAGGACCTCACACGCGGACCCAAGTTCGACCTCACTAGCCTCAGGGGGTTGCGATCTGCGGACATGGCGCCGCTTTCGACGGCTGCTTGGGGTCCGGCAGAATGACGTCTTACGCGGACCGGAATTCGACCTCGCCATCCCTGGGGGGCTGCGATCTGCGAAACTGTCGCATTTTCGAAAACCTGTGGGGGCCAAGCGGAGCGACGTCGAACGCGGACCTAAATCAGACCTCGCCATCCCTAGGGATAGTGGTTTACGTAGCCGTCACCATTTTCCAGGGCTGCCAGGGTCCAGCGGAACGACGTCATAAGCTGAGCGCAATTGGACCTCGCCATCCCTTGGGGGCTGCGATCTGCGAAATTGTCGCCACTTTTGAATGCCGCTTGGGGGGCCAATGGGATGGCATCCCACGCGGACTCAGAAGACTACACCTCGCCGTCCCTGGGGGGCCTGCGATCTGCAAAGCCGTCGCCGCTCTCGAGGACAGCAGGCCTAAGGTTGACTTCGCCATCCCCGGGAGAGAGCGATATGCGAGGCTATCGCCACTTCCGAAGGCTGCCGGGGATCCAGCGATGTGAAGTCTCATGCAGATTCAGACTACACCTCGCCATCCATGGGGGGCTGCGAACTGCGAAAGCATCGCCAATTTCGAAGGCAGCTGCGGGAAAAGCGGAGCGACGTCATACGCAAACCAAACTAAAATTCGCCGCCCCTGGGGGGCTGCGATCTGCGAAAACGTCGCCACTTTCGGCGGCTGCTGGCGGGGTCCAGCGACGTGACGTCATACGTGGACCAAACTAAGAGCTTGGCATCCCTGGGCGGACTGTGTGGTCTGCAGAGCTGTCGCCACTTTCGAGGGTATCTGGTGGGTCAAGCGGGGTGACGCCCTGCGCAGACTCAGACTAGACCTCGTCATCCTTGGAGGCTGCGGCTGTACTGGGTGGGGGAACCGCGTGCGGACTGCGCCACTGGGACCTTCGGTGGAGCTCCCTCTGGGGCCACGGAACGCTGTACTGGGCGGCGGAACCGCGTGCGGACTGCGCCACTGGGACCTTCGGTGGAGCTCCCTCTTGGGCCACGGAACGCTGTACTGGGCGGGGGAATCGCATGCAAACTGCGGAGGAGGGCGGAGGAGGAGGAGAAGAGGCAGGAGGAAGGAGGAGTGAGTGAGTGGCGGGTGCTGCTTCTTTCTCAGCACGAGGGCCCAACACCACATGATCGTCGGGAAAAGCAATCTCTTGTCACACACCGCCATCGTGCTACCAGAGGACATTCGTCGGAGGAAGGCCAGTCGAAGCACCGCGGGGCCTGCCCGCCGTTTTCCGTCCCTTCCTGGGCCTCCTGCGGGCTTCTCGTTGCCACGGCTGGATCCGCCTTGAGATACGGGTCAGCATGGACCCCTAGAGGCGTCCCCAGGGGGCTGCTGGGCTGGGCGGGAGCGCCGCCGTGCTCAACTGGCCATCTCCCCCGAAGACAACCGAGCAGCTCGCACCTCGCTCACTCTGACGTCCTGTGCTGCCCGCCCTGAATGACAGCGGCTCACGAGGTCCACGTCCGCGCCAACACGGAGCGTGTGAGCCTGGTTCCCGTCCGCACGCGCTTCAGAAGTCGTCCAATCCCTCGCCCGTCCCCACCCAGTCCTCGGCTTCTTCCGCGCAGTAAGCGGGCGGACGGCGCCACATCGCAGTGCCAACCGTATGCCGTCTTTTGTTCCTCGGTTGTCAGCGCGGGCTCCACCCCGTCTGGCACGTGGTGTTCAAGTCGGGCGTGAACTACTGGGGGGCGAGAAATGGGGAGGAGAAGACAGGTGCACGTTCCGGGCCCTGGAGATCCCCCCTTGGGCTTCAGAGGGCCCCGTTCGGAGGCCCTGAAGGGCCCCTTTTCGGCAGCCCTTGCTGCCCCCCCGTTTTTGGCGACGAGCGATGGGTGGGAAGTAAGAAGGGGCGGGCCTTCTCAGCAGGTTTCGGAAGTCCCCCAGCGTTCTGAGAAGCTTTCTGAGCCTGCCCCGAAGACAGACAAGACTTCCCAGGAGGCGCGAGGGCTTCTGAGAAGTCCCGCCGCCTTCGGCGAGGGCCTCATCTAGGGAAACGAACAATGACATAAACATAAAAACTCGGAGGTCCACGCGGATTTCTCGGATCGGCGCTGGGGCCCCCTGGCGGCGCCTCCGGAGCCGCCCCTGGCGCGCTCCGCGAGCCAGGGTGGGGGGTCCAGCGCAGATCCAAGAAATCCGTGCGGACCTCCGAGTTATGATGTTAATGTCACTCTTCGTTTCCCTATCCTCCTTCTCGCTTCGCCCCCTCGCTCGCCGCCGACATTGCTCGCCCCCCCCCTCGGGGGGTGCAAATCATGACCGGCGGCATGTGCGCGGCCCAGCGGGGGGGGGGGCCGGGGACGTAATGAAATGAGAAGAGGCGCCATGAAACCTTGGGAAATATCATGCCCCCCGCCATGATATCCCCCCCCCTTGTCATCACCCCCCTCTTGGCCGCCCCCGACCCCCCCCAGGACGCGACCTCCCAAGGCGGCCCACAGGAGCGCCCGCGGGGCCGCGAGAGGCCGACCCCCCGAGCACGCCCGGGCCGCGCGCGGGGGCGGCGGCCCGATGGGGCGTTTGGGGGCTGCGCGGGCCCGCGCAGTGCGCTGGGCGGGCGCCGAACCCCAACCCAACCCCAACCCGACCAGACCACCCCCAACCCAACCCAAAGACCCGACCCAGCCCAGACTGCCCGACCCTACCAGCCCAACCCGACCCAACCCCACCCGAAGACCCGGACTGCCTGCCAGACCACCCCAACCGCACCCGAAGACCCGACTGTCGGGTTGGGGGGGTCAGGGTTCCACGTGTGTGTGTTGTCGATGTTTCCCCCCACCCCCCCCCACTGGAAGTCGACGGTAAACTTGAGCCTTCGGGTCGGGTTGGGGTGGTTTGGTGGGTGGTGAAGGGCGCCGAGCGCGCGGGGAGAGGCCGCGCAGCATCGCGCGGACGGGGAGGCGGAGCCAAGGCTGGCTCGAATCGCGAAGCTGGCCATCGCTCGGACGTCCAGTCCCTGTGCCTGCGGTTTCGTGCGTGGTTGGTTCGCCAGATGGTCGAGGAGGCTCCTCGAAGGTCCTCGCCGAAGCAAAGACGCACTGTGGGGGAAAAACACACACACACAAAACATACACAGACTCTGTGTGTGTTTTTCCCACTGTGTGTGTGTGTGTGTGTGTGTGTGCTTTTCCCCACAGTCCGAGCGATGCCGAGGAAATCGGATCGGAGCGCCAACGCATGGACTCGAAGAAGTCGGACCGCCGCGCCCGGCTCGGGATGGCCCCGGCGGGTGTCCGGTGGGCCGGGCGAGCTCGGATCGAATCGGAATCGAGGGCCCCGGCCGCGAGTTGAATTGCTTCGGATCGGATCGCAGGAGGCCCTGATGCGATCGGGTCGGCATGCGACTGGGTCGGGATGCGTCCCAGGGAGTCCCCGGCGTATCCAGCGATCCCTCGGCCACTGGAGCTCCCGCGGAGCACCAGAGATGATTGGGCATCTGGGAACGCATCATGCATGTCAGGGTTGTGTCTCTGCCGCAAGCTAATAATTGGTGACGCTGCCGCCCGGAAATGCCCTAGATGCGAAACCCAGGAATGTGTGATATTTCTTTTGGCGACGGCACCTGTTTGGTGAATAACAGAGCGCCCTCGGTGCGCTATCGAGATTTGGTAAGGGGCTGGCATAATAATCACTCGCCAACGAAACCGTACCGTTCGCACTGCTGAACTTAGCGGTGGCGTCGTCAACAACTGCCCCACAGAACAAACCAAACGCAATACAAAATCGTATGCGCATGTGTATGCGCATGTATCTGGGGGATCCCAAAACCGTGTGGTGACAGACCGTGCGGCGACCTCGGAACCCCAAGAGACCTCACCGTACTGTCCGTCACCGCACGGTCTTGGGACCCTGGAGGCCCATGTCGCCCGAGACCCCAAAACCGAGCGGTGACCCCGAAACCCCACCGACTCACCACACGGTGTGGTCACCACGCCGTCTGGGGGCTTCCGAGTATGAGGACCCCTGGCTCCCCCTGAGCGACACTCCGAGACTTAGGTCGGGTATGTCCCCCTACAGGCGCATTTCGGACGACCAGTAAAACATACCCCCAAAATACCCCCAACATAACTAAACAAATGATGACAAAATAGTCCCCTGGCTACTTTTTGGGCTATTTGAACCTATTCCTCCTGTAGAGGGACAGGCCCGACTGAATCCGAAACGCGGGGCCGCCCCGGGTGAGGGCACCCGCCGCGCCGCGCGCGTGCGGCCCCCGCCTTCATGTGAGACTTCTGCCGGATCCACAGGTACGTGGACTCCGTCTGCGCCGGCGGGGGTCCAGTGACCAGCCTCGAACTGATCCAAGTCCCTGAGATCCCTAACCCCAAGATCCCTCGAGGATCCCTGCGCCTAAACGTATCCCTAGTCCTAAGAACCCTTGCCCCTATCGAACTGATCCCTAACATCCCTCGAACCAGTCCAGTAACCAGCATCCCTATTCCTAAGATGGGCGAGCAAAAAACGAGGACAGTTTTAAGGTTGTGGCCTCAGAAACTGAGGGAGTCCTTAAGATCGGCATCGAGGCAAGGTGATACCAAACACAGGGATAGGGATGTGTGTTCAAACTGGTAGTCTCGAGCAGGCCACCGCGAGAAGGATCGACAGACCAGCTCAGGGGGGGAGCATCTATCTGGAATCGGCGACACATCACCAATAGATCGGCGATGCGGCGGAGGCCAGTCCACAAGAAACCCTCCACGAGAAACCCAACCCTGAGACCCCAGGGCCTCCATGGCTTTTTGGCGTGGCAACGTCAAGCGTTCAACAGCGTAGCAGGACCATCGAAACCCAAGAAACCCAGGGCACCCTGGAGGCAAGCACGGTGTTTCTCACACATATATATATATATGTGTATATATATGTGTATGCACGTATTGTGTTGAATGTGCTGTTCTGATTTGTTTTTTTTCATGTTTACTTTTTGTTTCTTGGCATGGGCCTCCACTGCAGGCCCCCGATAGCAAACCCGCACCGTCCTGGGCGGGCTGGGCTCCTGGGCCCCCCGTCGGCGACGAGTGTGGGCGATGGGGGGTCGCTGCGTCCTCCCCCTGCCCCTGCCCCCAGCAGGCGCAGGAGGAGGAGCAGGAGCAGGAGCAGGAGGAGGAGGAGGAGGAGGAGGAGGAGGAGGAGGAGCAGGAGGAGCGGGAGCAGGAGGAGGAGGAGCAGGAGGAGCAAGAGGAGGAGGCAAACACGCTGCCCCTGACACGGACCAGAGAGCTTACCACATCGGACAGGTCGATTTCAGAATCACGACAGGACAAGCACACATTGCAGTGGGGGCCCGACCACAAGAAGCCGTCCACCGGAAACCCAAGCCCGAGACTCCAAGACGTCCACTGATGTTCGGTGTGGGGAAACCACACTTTCCATCGCAAAACCATCGAAACCCAAGACACCTTGGGCACCCTGGAGGCAAGCAGGGTGTTTCTTTGCATGGGCCTCCACTGTACGAAATGTGATTGGACACATGGGCAGCTGGCAGCGGGTAAATACGTGACCATGAACGACAGAAAGGGCCATAATATACTCAATCGCACGCGCCAGCGCAAGCAATCATGTTTCAATTCCGATGGATTGCCTTGGCCATAGCCTACTTAGCACACGGCGAACAGTCGCAACGATAGTCGATCGACCATGCGTGCTGACCCAAGCGCGTAGCCCACTGTTTGTGCTACGTCGACGAGGTTAAGCCAAGTATGCGAAACGCACATGTTGCAAACACATTGTACACAAAAAGCCTGCAATTGCCAAACATAACGGCCGCGATCGCAATCACCTGCTGGTGAAAGGACTGCCCCGCTCAACCCATATGACTGTCTTTTGACTACTATTCAAATCTGTGTGAACTTCCACCTTGTTAAAATGTAATGCCACCATGATTCGTACATGCATCCCCCGCATCGCTTTCGATTCCCACCCCTCGCCCAAAACCGCCAGTGGCTACCATTCCCACCCCGTTCCGCAAAAAGATGCGCCCTCCTAGCCGGCGCGCGAGGCGCCAAATTCGACAAGGCTTGCAAAGAAAATGCGATTCACCTTCTTGAAGTCGGCAAGTGGCATACATATATTACACGAGAGCGGTTATGGTCTCCGTGCCGTTGCTCCATCGTGCTCCTTCTGCTGATCCCCCTCCTGTGCATCATGGAATGTCGCACGATGCTGCTGAATAGTGGGCACCTCTATTCAGACAAGTGCTTCACTGGTGAGATATCGTGCTGCAACCACCAGCTGATCCCATAACCATTCGTCACAATTGGATCAACCAGAATTCAGTACGACCACGCAGGAATCCCACTTCTGCAAACATAACAGGCGAAGGATCGCGAGTGCTGCGTGCTGCTCAGACCTGAATGTCAACCAAGGTCTTGTCAATGGATCTGATGTGGTCCTGCGGGCTTGCCAACCACTTGTCCAATTGCCCATTGTCGCCCGACACATCCCCCGTCTCTTCGGCTTCCCTCCCTTAGCATTGCGTCGCCTGCTCATCTCTGCATGTCCTCTCATAGCTCTTTCCCCTTCTTCCCCGTGCCAAAACTTGAAAATTCTGCCATTAGCTGGACGGACTCGGAATACTCTCTGAACTAACCCCGCTCGTTCATCCAACCATATCCTGGCTTTTCATACGGAACAATCCCCCTGAATCGGCGACTGCGTCACGCCCTCACTATAACAATCAGGCGCACTGACCGAAAGGGACGAACCGCCGCAATGAAGCCACACATGAGTCTATATTCGAGGTCCTCCCCTGCGATAATTCCAGGTTCTGTCAAGACAGATGTTGTTTGTTCCGTCCTTCCTTCGTAGCGGAATCCTCAAGGTTGACACTTGCTTCGCGCATGTCATATGACGAGGTTACCGAAATCATCTCGCGAATTGCTCTGTGCGGATGGTGACTCCCGCTAGCCGGTTTCAATAGAACGTGGAGGGGGAGCCGAATGGGGTAATTGATCGCAGGCCATGGTCGTACATTCCTCGGCGGTGCCTGCGTTGTGCGCCGTCGCCGCAGACATATGCACAATGCTACACACTCCTCCATTGTCTCAAGATGTTCTGGTTGAAGGTGGGTCTCGTTGCCCTTCCCCACGGCGAATGTAACCATCTTCTCCTGTGCCACAGGGATCAGGGGGGAATACGCGAACGTGCTGGCTGGGGTACTCTAGCTATCTGAATAAGAGTCGGGGGGTACCCCCCCGACGGGGGGTCAACTTCGCCTCGTCGTCGCGCCGCGACGGGGGTCGGAACGCCTTCGGCGCGCGGTGGCTGCCCGCGACGGGGGTCGATGTGGGGCTGTCGGCGGGGGCCACGCCCCCCCGACACTATTAAGAAACTCGGAGTACGGAGAAAGCGGCGCAGAGGGCATCCTCGCACAGGAAAGAGGGAGCGGGCAGGGGCATGTCGGCGGGGGGGCATGAAGAACCGTTGGTTCTGATTAAAACTCGCCATCGCTCAAATGTCAATTCCCGTGCGTGTCTTGACACATCTTCCACAAGCCTGTTGTCTGGGTCCTATCCGCGCTTATGGCGTGCCAACACATACACACACACACACACACACGTAGACAGAGCGACTGATCGACGTTGCTCAGTCAAATAAGCGTGACTTTCAATACCGATTGCCCCACTCATATCCGCCTCCATGTCGTGCCGCAAGCACTGAGTGGAATGTTCCCAGGCCGCATCAAATCCTATACATTGACACACCGGATCATTTGGCGCTTTCGGGCGCTCTCATTGGATGCGTCGCGGGATCTTATCCGAGCCTGAAACTTACGTTAAATCTTAGGTTACTGCATCTATGTGTTCGGCCCCGAAATGGGGAAGCTAAAAGGGCCCCAAGAGCCACTGTGTCGAGACGCCCCCCGAGACCGCCGATAAACCACCAAGACTTCCCACGATGTCCACATAAACTCCCATGAGGCATCCAAAGGCTACACAGAAGCCCCACATACGCCGCCAAGAGGTGCCCGAGAGGCATCAAAAGAGACCCCGAGAGGCATCCGAGACGCCTCTGACCCACATCCTAGCCAAGGTGGCGGGATGGGCCGCAGGCCACAAGATACCACGGTGCTTGTCATGATTCCTCTATCGTTTCCTCTCGTCTTCTGGAGATTGCCTCCCATCATCCTGCTTCACAATGCTGATGCAACGCTCAATGTCAAAGCATGGTGCAACCACATATGCAAAAGGCATATATTGGCGCCTCACTGCCCTAAATTGTTTGCAAAAAGGCCCGACAACATATACGAAGGTGTCTTACTAAAACTGGATTGCATACGAAAGCGAACCTAAACCACGGTGATCAACACTCTAAGTCTTATCATTCGATGCTAGCACATCAGCGCCGTGTCGACACACCTGATATGCATTCACCTCGCGTGGTGCTCGGTCATCACCACACCGAGTGTCAACCAAGCGTGTGCCAAAGCAGGCACCCCAAACCAGCGATCATGCGCCAGGTGGCTGAGAGCCCCCAGACTCACTAGATTCCCAGACCTCCAGGGTAACATACCTCACACCTGGAGCTGCAAATTCGAAATGGTAACCGGGCCATATCTCTGAAAAGATCGGCTTCGACTGCTGACTGCCCCACGATTTCCCAAGACAGCTCCATCACGGCACCCGGAGCTCCTACCATGGCCACAATACGACTCAAATGCCGTCAAGATTACAAACATAGTCTCCAGTGGATGCGGGAACAGCCCCACGAGTCGTACCCGACAGCCAAAACAAATCCACCCCACGAGGACTCACTGCTAGCAAGTACAGCTCGCTTGGGTAGACAAGCTGCCTCCATCCACTTGTGGTTGCTGACTATGAAAGTGTATGTCCCAGGTGTGCTCGCTAAGAAATGGAAGATGCCCTCAGCCTTGCGGGGCGACGGCAAAGATCGGCAGCGGGGAAGAAGAAGCGAGATGGGGTGAAATAATCGCGGTGGACAAACCTCCCTTTAATAAACCTCCCCTTATTGAAAACGGCCTGGGACCGAAACCGACGGACCTGGACCCGCAAAAATGACGGCCGCGACGCCCTCTCGCGAACCGAAAACGGCCAATTCCTGAATCGACGTGTCATGGTAGGTCTATCCACCTCCGAAGGAAGAGGCGGACGCGTCAGTAACAACACAGGGTACTGCCTCGACAAGTTCATCGTGGAGACTGCACAGCAGCGGACAATGAGTCCTGGCCATCGCTCGGGCGTCCATTCCCTGTGCTTTTCCTGGTTTCGTGCGTGGTTTTTTCGCAAAATGATCAAGGATGCTCCTCGATGGTCCTCGCCGAAGGAAAAATGCACACGTCCGAGCGATGCCAAGAGTCAGGAGTGGCATACCCAGCTCGGCACTGCACTGCTCTGCCGAGGCTGACTGCGACAGCAGCGTGCCCCAGCGCGCTCGCGAATGCCTCGACCAACACGCGGTCTGCCAGCGTCGCCGTCGAGGGCCGGTGCTCGATGGCACCTCGAATGGGCATCGCGGCGGACTCGCTTCTGGCCCACGTCCCCCTGTCGCGCCCAGCGGAGCCGGGCTTTGAGTCCCGCTCCAGGCTGCGTGGGCCTGGCAATGCTGGCATGCTGTGTGGCTTGCATCGGGCGGGAAGGCGCCTCAGCACCAAGAGGGTGCCCAATACTGTGCCCAGACGCCGAAAGATGGCTCCAAGATGGAGCATGATTGCCTCAGAGGGTGGCCCCACGAAGACCCAGTATTGCTCAACAAAGCAGCAAGATGGCCCTGGCCGAAAGATTGCACCCAAGAGGTCTGGCTGCCAAAAAGCTGCAAGATGCGCCCCAGCAGACCCACGAACGAGTCCAACCCTCGGTCAATCGAAATTCTCGCAAACAGGCTTATTCCTGAACTACACACCGGACCATCAACAAACATCACTAAACGGATGCAAACTTCGTAATTCAAATCTGTATCGCACCATTGGTAACCGTACAAGAGGGCCTCGTCCGTCTTTTCGTAGATGACGTTGCCCTTGGGATCCTGAATGCTGAACCTGGCGCAGACGGCTGAGTTGAAAGGTAGAAGCCGAACGTGGCTCAGACTACCACCCCGGGCTGCATGGGGAGATACTGACCACTAGCTGGATGCAGATTAGCTGCGCTTGAAGGCGTGGGCGCGACAACTGATTTGGATTCCGCACGGTTCCAGAGGTTCAGCATACAGCATCGGCGTACGTGATGCAGCGCAACAACACGCACACACACATACATACACACGCACATGATTGCAACGCTCTCCGTTCATACACAGCAGCTGGAAAGAAACAGAGCAACGCAAATGTAGCTCTATCGCTTAGCAATAAGGCTCGCGCATGTATCTCGCAGCATTGGCTCGGGTGCGGGATGGGCTGTCGTCACGAGAATATGCGCACTTGTACTCGACGGTCTGCCTGACTGATGAAGTGTGGAACAACTTCGACAACCGGTGTAGCAACTCGTAGTTTGATGGTGCACGTCGTAGACGGCGACGGCGACGGCGACGGCGACAACGACGGGGACGAGACCACGAGGACGACAAAGGCGACGAGGACGACGACGGCGAGGACGACGACGGGGAAGGCGGAGGAGAACGAGCAGGAATCCCGCCTGTTATTCCGGGTGTGGGTGGTTTAGGGCGCGTCCTCTTCAAAGCCCCTGCTTCCCAATCGGGTGAAGTGTTACCATTGCCCCTTTCATTCTTGATCCCGCCAACCCTTTGGACGAACATGGTCTATCGATCTAGTCGTTGCCCTTCCCAAGGCAGGAGCCAAATAATTTTTAAACAGAACAACTTACCTTCGGGGAGTGGTACCCGACCCCTCCCCTCCCTGATGTGGTTTGGAGCGGACCGCGAGGGATTAGAGCGTCTAAGACGGCCCAAGGTGGCTCCAAGAGGGTCTCCGATGCTCAACGATGGCCTCCTAGGCGGCTCGACATATACGAAATTGTTCAAAAGAGCTTCCGACGTGGCTCCAAGAGGCCCGACGAGAGCCACAAGACGGTTCAAAGTGCTCTCAGGGCCCCCTCAGGACCCCGCCAAGAGGCCAACATCCTTCAAACACTTACCAGAAATCAGAGATATGTGCCTTCTCGCCTTGTCACTTCCGATGCGCTTTCGCGGCCACAAGATTGTCCCACGATGGCCCAAAAGACCCGAAAGAGGCACCCAAGAGGCCCCCCAAACGGCCCCAAGAGCGCCCAATATCTGCCCAAGAGCTTCCCAAGAGCGCTCTCAGAGGCGATGTTGATGGCCCAGGGGGGATAGATGTCGGACCTTCCCCTTTCTGATCGAAGGGTTCCAAGATGGTCCTAAGATGCCCTCCAGGGCCTGAAAGGGACCCCAAAGAGGGCTCCACGAGCTCCAAGAGGTGACATTGAGGACTGTGTCCTTGTCCTCGTTATCCTCCTCCTCCTCCTCCTCGCCCTCATTGACTTCGCAGCAGTCCTGGTCGTCGTTGTGGTCTTCCTTCACCCCCTCCTCCTCCTCCTCCTCCTCTTCCTCCTCCTCCTCCTTCCCTGGCCACCACGCGGGCTCCATGGATGGCTGGCCCAAAAAGGCCTCCAAAACCACCCCCTTGCTCCCAGAGATCTGTCTGTTCATCCTGCTTGCCCGCTTTGGTTCACTATATGTGTCTCTTCGTCCCTTCTCCCGTCAGCTCTCATGGGCAAGGCTTCTGACTGGGCTGGTGGGGATAGGCGAAGCGTGAAGACTCAAAACGCACCCCCTCCCCCACCCGGTGACAGACCCGGGCCACTGGCCCCCCCACCCTCCTCAATCCCTATCAAAAACCGATACGACATGCACACTGCGGCACCCGTTGGACCGAGCTCGTGCTCGGGCGGCGGTGCACGGGCGCTTCGTGATCACGCGGCATCGGTTTCTGGCAGGGACGACGGGGGGGGCAGAGCATCACGTTGCCCGGTGCGTGCAGGCCCGCTGTCCCATCAACAACATAGATACACTCTGCCAGGGACGGCAAGGGCGGGGGCGGCACAGTGCCTGCTGCGTGCAGGCCCACCGCCCCTGTCAAAAACAAGTGCATATAGTGTCCGCGGGCGCACAAGCACAAAACAACATCATGCTGTCAACCCCGCCGGCGCGCTGCAATACTGTTTGATCGGGATGGTCGGGGGTCGACAGATTACCCAGTGCTGCGCACCTGGTGAGCGTGGCGCGCCTGGCACGTGCGGCGCACCTCCCGGGCGTCGCGCACCTGGCTGGCGTCTGCAGTGGTTCCCGATTGTTGCCGATAGCGGCCACTGCCCATATGCTGCTGGAGCTCGGGTGCTGCTCATGCAGTGGGAGGGCGGACGGGAGCGAGCGAACCGGCTTGCGGCGTGAGCTCGGCACCTCCCCTGACCCCCTCCATCTACTAGGTCTGGACGGGGGGGGGGGGCGCGGACAGTCAGAGCGCCCAAGATGGCCCCCAGAGGCTCCAGAAAAGCCCAGGATGGCTCCAGATGGCGCAAGATCGCTCCGTATGGACCCCCTGCTCCAAGTGGCCCGCGGCCGCTCCAAGACGGGTCCAGGTGGCCACGGAGCCTCCCACGGCTCAGGACAGTCCCCAAAGAGGTCCAAGTAGGCCCCAAGAAGGCCCCAAGAGCGCCCCAAGAGCGCCCCAAAGAGGGTCCAGCGAGGGCCCTGAAGAGGCAACTTTGGAGGCTCTAGAGGCGCAACGCTCCTTAGGTATCCTCCCCTTCGCTCAAAGCCAACATTACAGACTAACCATCTTTTGCTCAAATATTTGGCAGGTCTTGGGATGCTACTTGGGTAACATGGCTCTAAAGTAGCCTCAGATCCCGGATGGCCTCCCATATTGTTCGAAATCCCCAAAGTTGGCTCAACATGGCCACCAGTATGCCTCTCAGTGGCCACGGCGATCTCCAAGGAGGCCTCACAGAGGCCACACTCCTTCCCAAACCTGAGGGAATTCATGATTACTGCCTTCTCGCTTCTGGCAACTGGACTTCATGCGACTGCAAATGCGACGCCCCATCATCTAGCAGTCACCTGGCTGGGGGGAGCGCAGAGCCAACCCCTGCCCCTTCAAACTCGCCAGGGCGACTCCACCGAGGACGTCTCCTGAACCGACCGCCGACCACCAATGAGTGCTACATCCAACCAATTGCCGGAACAGCAGATGGGATGATGTACTTGAGACGGGCATGCAGAGATGAGAACACTGAGTGAATGGAAAAAGCACAAGAGAGGAGGGGGGAAAAGAGGAGGGAAGGACACACATGGTGTTTCTGGAGAGAGGGCATGGGAGGCCAGATAAATGTAGCATCGACGGTGGACAGTGACACATCAGGTGTGGCCACGCCTTCTCAGACCCCCTCCCTGGACGAAGAGACAACTGCACAAACGTAAACCTTCGAAGGTCCGCGCGAATCCCTCTCCGTGGCGTGTGGGATGCGCCAGGGGCGACTTTGGAGGGGCCGCCAGGGGGGCCCAGCGACGATCCAAGACATACGCGCGGAGCTCCCCAAGATTATGCTTGTGCAGTGCTTCCTCCGCCGAGTGGCACACTCGGTCTGGCCGCTCCTCCTCGGGTCCCCTCGCGCCCCTCGTTCCACTGGTTCCTCCGATCCTCTTCCAACCGTCCCTCTTCCCTCCGATCCTCTTCCCACCGATCCTCTGGGCCCCTCCCAGGGTGCGTTCTGACCAGAATTTCGAGGCGCATCCAGCAGTGGCGACGAGGACCTCCCAAGAGACCGACAGAGACGAAAACTTAGCAAAGGTAGCGGTATCGGTACCTTTTCCTTCTCTGGCGAAAACAGCGCCGAAGCACCGTGTCAAAAGACTACCTTGAGTCCCTGCTCCAGCGCGGTACGGTGCATAGTTGATCGGCTCTGGGGGCCGACAAAGCCATGCACAGAACCATTCCTGGGCCAAGGACCGACTACGACTCGGGAGAACCAACGCGGTAGTACGGTGCACACAAGCCGTCCGCTGATTATCCTCCCGCCTCCCACCGACCACCCGCGAACCTCGTCTCTCCTCCCTCCGACCCGACCCACGTCCGTCTTGTCTGGACCGCGCCCCTCGTCTCTCAGACCTCCTCCGACCTCACCGACCACCGACCCCACCGACTCCTGCACACCCTCGCGCCCTCCCAAGGGGAACGAAAGATGGCATCAACAAAAAACTCTGAGGTCGGCGCGGATCTCTTGGATCCGGGCTGGACTCCCCTCCCTGGCGCGCTCCGCGCGACAGGGGCGGCGCCGGAGGCGCCGCAAGACGGCCCAAACGCCGATCCGAGAAATCCGCGCGGATCTCCGAGATATTATGTTTATGTTATTGTTCGCTCCGCTACTCCCTGCCAATGCGACCCGGCTTCCCCCGGGGCCGTGAGCGACCCGAGGAGGAGGAGGAGGAGGAGGAGGAGGAGGAGGAGGAGGAGGAGGAGGGAGGAGGGAGGAGGAGGAGAAGGAGAAGGAGTAGGAGGACGCGCCGCCTACGCCCTTCGGAGAAACCCTTCACCTGCCACCGACCCCGTCTTGTCGCATCCGCTTCCCGCGTCCGTCTGTCAGCTCGCCTCGCGCGCCCTGCCAAGGAAGGGGGTGCTCGCGCCGCGGACGGCGCGGTCTGCGCAGCAGCAGCAGGCTGTTTCTGCTCTGCCCGCAGCGGCCGACAGGAGGCCCCGGCAGCTACGCGGCTCTGCCTGGTGCTGCGTCAGACGAGCGCGCTCCACTGCTCGCAGAGTGACTGCTCGCAAATGGCCCGGATCTGCCGGGGGTGGGGTCTACGAGAAGTTACCTCGGAGCAGACATGTGCTTGTCGGACGCTTGCGAGTCGGCACTCTGCGAGTAGTGGAACGCGCTCGGTGCCGCGTGCCGAAGTCGGGGAACAAGCAATGATATAAAAACAAAATTTCGGAAGTCCGCGCGGAGTTCTCGAATCGGCGCTGGAGCCCCCTGCAGCGGCGCCTCCGGCGCCGCCGCTGGCGCGCTCCACGCGCCAAGAAAGGGGGTCCAGCGCCGATCCGAGAAATCCGCACGGACCTACGGAAGTGCATGTTCATGCCAATTGTCGCTCCTCGAAAGAAATGCGACCCAACTCGCACGAACCTGCCACCGTGCGCAGAGTGGGCTGCAGGTGGGCTCTCGCAGGTTTCCCACATTACCTGCGGAGCGTGGTCCAGAGTGCACACTTCCACCATGCCCTAAGGTGGCTCCAGGAGCCAATCAGGACCCTCTGGGGGGCCTCTTGGGTAATCTTGGAGGTCCTGGGGCCGACCTAAGAAACCCAAATCACAAACACGCCTTTCGTGTTGACATGGAGTTCGCACACTCGCTAATTTAAGAACGGGGAAGAAAGCCCGCGGCACAGCGAGGAGCGTGGGGGGAGGGCGAGAGAAGCGCAAGATCTCTGACCTGGTGTGCGCTCCATCTGGCCACTACTGCCCGGGCCTCTCACACCACTGACCACTTCTGCCAGTTCAAGCACGGAGAACATGAAGCAGAAGAAACTGGGGCATCGTGTAGGTGGACAGTGCGGAAAATCGGCGGCGCGCAGAGGGGGGAAGTGAGAGGGGGCAGGCCTTCTCAAAGGCGGCGGGGCTTCTCAGAAGACCTCCAACCTTCTCTCAAGAAGTCCTGTGGCTTCGAAGAAGGATCGGAACACTTCTCAACACGCCGGAGGCCGTCTGAGCCTTCTGAGAAGACCCGCCCTCTGCCATCCACCCCTGGACTCGCCGCCGAAGAACAGCATGCGGAGGCCGAAAGGAGCTCGAGATACCCGCTTGGGCTGGAAGCACTCATCGACTGTTGAACAAGGGCTGGTACCAGCGGAAGAGCTGGTCCGAACGAAAACCGATCAACTCACCTGCGGTACCCCGCGAGAGCGCCTCGTCAGCACCATCAGTACACCATAGGTTGTGCAGACCAGGCGTTCGGCCCATGTGCAGGAGCAATCGCGTTCTTGGTGTACTACCCGGGTGTCAGGTGTTGATATACCCACCACGTCACGTTGTGTGTGATTAAAGCTTCACTCTTGGGCCTGCGGCCCCACGACTGCCGTCGACTGCTTGCGCCCCGGCGAAGCCCCCGCGAGACAGCTGATTTTCTAACCCACAACTGTTTCTCGTAGACGCCTTCAAAAGTGCCACAAAAAAACAAAACGCACAAACAGCGTTCAAACAACGGGAACGAATTTCATGAAACAGCTCATGAAACCAGAAATGCGGCGATCTGAGCTGTTCGCCGTCAGAGCGCGTCGGCTACATCAGCAGGCGTTCTGGAATACACGCAACACTTGTCCTGGTTGGCTTCCTCTTGAGAGCCCTGGCTACTCCCTTTTGCTAGGGCTCCCAACTTCGCGCTTCGCGCTGCGCGAAGCGCGAAGCGCGAATAACTTCGCGCTCTCGCGCCGCCCTCCCAAAGGGAGAATAGGAGGACGAGGAGGAGGGGGAGAAGGAACGAGGACCGCGAAGCGCGAATAACTTCGCGCCCTCGAGGGAGCCCTTGCTTTTGAACACCAGCGGGAGCCAGGGGCGGCGCCGGAGGCACCCCACGAGGGGCCCAGCGCCGCTCCAAGACATCCGCCGATGCAGAAAGCTCCGACGGACTGTGTGTGTGTGCTGTTTTGGTCCTTCGGGAGAACGGGTGGACGCATCCCCCCTCCCAGGAGTCAGGAGGGACCGAAGAGGATACCACGTGGCAGCGCAAAGATCATGCGTTGATGCGGAGCTTCCCCCAGTCCTGAGTGCAGTGAGGCGGGTATGCGCGGCAGGCTTGCCATTAAGGCGGCGGCGAAAATCCCTCGCGAGTGCATGAATGGCGCGGGATCGAGACCATCGCCGCGCAAGAAACAAATACGTGGTTGCTTGTTCACGTGTCGCGCGGTACTGTCGCCGTGGTACTACATCGCGCTTGTGGGCACGCTGCCCCTCGCAGCAGGCCTCAAGACTTCTGCTCGTCGCTGTCGACCGCGCGTCAGCGGTCTGCGTCTTCGTCCGCCCACTCTCGGCCCTAGAGGCCGCCATGCGACGAAACCCGGCCCTGTGGACTGCGACTGCTGCCGCCCTCTTGGCGACAACGAGACTTTCTTCCTTCTGCTTGGCTGATTGGTGTCCCCCGAAACGCCGCTCGTCCACACTCATCAGACCAGCTTCAGACCCTGTCCGAGAGCCCCCTCCGCGTCCAGGATCCGGATCCCTTGACGCACTGCCACCATCAGCCTCGCCACACACTTTCGTCCATGCGAGGCAGGGGGAGGCCCAGAAAGCCGACGCCTTCGTCTTTTCCCGACGTGGACCTCTGGAGATCTGAACCTCTTCCCTGGGACCCGATGTTGGTCCTGAGTCTTCGGTGGCAACTCACGGGAGCCTCCCCTACCATCTCGTTGGCCGACGGCACTCGACGCTAACCGACGCGAAACGACGGTGATCGACGCTAAATCGACGCTAATCGACGCTAACCGACGCCAATCGACGCTAAATCGATCCCATTGATGACAAAACGCTGCTCGGCGCGAATCGACGCTAGAGCCAGAAGCCAGACGGTATACCAGGCTCCCCGCTACCAGACGAGTCGGATAATGGTGTGGTGTGAAGAGGCGGGGTTTCCATTGCTGGAAATGGTGATGCCATCGAAGATACTTACCTGTAAATGCCTTACATGCGGTGAGGTACCTGCGCACATCGTCGATCTGATCGCCAGCTCCAGCGCTGGCACCGCACCCCGTTACACCACACCCATCTCCCCCACCCTCCCGCCCGGAGAGTCGGCGTTGGCGGCCCAGGGGACCGGCGAGGGACCGAAAGTGACCAACAAAACCTCACGTCGTTTCGTGTTCCCCACAGCGAGCAAGAGGCGGAGCGGCCAGCAGCGGAAGACAGCGGCAGGGCAGGCCCGACGGAGGTGCGCGGCGGCAGGCCCGAGCTCCTGGGAGGCGGAGGCGAAGAAGCCGCCGCGGATGAGCACCGTCTCCCCCGGGGACAGGTCCTGGGGTGCAGGCGGAGCCGGGCCAAAGGACCCCTGCCTCAAGAACGCGAGGCCCTCCGCCGGCCAGCACGAGCAGGACATCCAAGAGTGCCCTCCCCGATGCCCCTCCGGCGCAAGCCGAGGGAGGTCCGCAGAATCTAGTGGTG